ACTATTAAAATAACAATTAAAAATACCACTATCAAATAAAATGGATAATTCTTCACAATCTTCACAAGGATTCTTGCCGCTCGACTATAGCCAAGATGAATTACAAGAGGATTTAATAAATGTTGAGGACATGATTTCATCAGATGATGAAAAAGAACACGACAATGATCCCGTGTTTGACTTAGAGCAAAGCCTATACGAGTATGCTCTAGCTTCAGCAGAATTTGAAAATAACCCATGGAAAGAATTTAGTGCAGAAGACATACCAATTTTGCAAGAAATAAGTAACGAGGAAACTGGCGATGAATATACTGAAGAGATTCCCGTGATTAAGACAAAACAAACTACACCATGCGCCATAATCGATAATATCATGGAGAAATATGACGCTGTAATAGAGAATCTGCTAAGGGATTGCGAGAATTAATCAGTATCTGGGAAATTGACGAAGATGCTGTTAATGATGTTAATAAAGAACTGCATCGTCTTGGTGTATGTTCAAGATATTTTAATTATGATCAAAATACTATGCATAGCAAAAATTTAAAAGACGAATGAATGCTCGACTAAAAAAAGTGAAATCAATTGCCATATTTGTTTTTTCTGCAAAAAAAAGAAGTTTTTCTTTAGTCGTGGAACAAGCTGTATAGAACATATATGGATTGTATACAATCAAAAACTACAAGTACCTTGTCGTGGAATAGTTCTCTGCCCAGCTATTAATAAAAGCTCCTGCACAGAAAATACCCGTAATTCACGGGGAGTTCGTTATGTGTGTTGTAAGTGTTATGAAAAGAATGGAGGCATTTGCACGTACGTATGGGTACAGGTAAAGCAGACCCGGGATGCACTGCAATGCATTTAGGTGATACCGAAACTACGCTTCTCCATTTTGCAAAGCTAATTGAAATGGTGGCATACTCAGAAAATGATATAATAAAAAAGAATTTACTTCAAGACCTCGTTGCATGCATAGAAAATTTTAATCTGGATTCGTCTTCCGCATCATCTAGCAAATTACTCAGCTTGTTTGTCGTTAATACGATTCTCAAAATTAAAAAAATTGATTTTTCCAAACAACAACTTATACAAAAACCCAAAAAATATGAAGAATTTGGAAAATCACTTGCCCTTGAAGTTTTAAAATCACGCACCAGCTTAGCACCTTATAAGTCAACATTAGAAAGTCTCGATTCTTTGCAGCAGTATTATGAAGCAATACCAAAATGCTTAACAAGCCTTTTTGATAGTTTAATTCATACTTTGCTATTTCAAAAATATGAAATTGTTAGACAAAAATAAAAAGAACACAAAAGCACTATAACTGAATTTGATGAAAGCGAAATAGTGAAAAGCACAGCATTCTTGTCTTCTATAATTTTAACAACCGCATTTAAAGGCTGGAAATTTTGGCTTCCACAAGTAATTGGATCTTTCTGTAAATGACCAAAGCTTACGACATACTTGCATGGTGTTCTTCGTGCAGCAAATGTGATAGCATATTCTAAAGATTATGAAGTGAAAGTTAGAAAACAACGAATGAAAGAAGCAAATGTGCAAAAAAAACTAAAGTCAGGTCCAAATATTTGGAACTTGGCTGTAATAGACAACATTGATTTTAAAGAAAAAACATTCAGAGCCAGAAATCTGTATGACGATACACAAGGTACAGCCCATGCAACTCTACGTATGGTGTTCCAGTTTGAAATGCCTAATATTAATATAGCATTATTAGCTAGTGATGTTGAACTGTGTAGAAAAAATTTATTTGTAGAAAAGTGGATGGAAAATCTTACTCAAATCTTTAGACGGTTAATGGCAGAATATCTGATGGAGTTTACTGTGGATGAAATAAACATTGCACTCAAAGAAGCAGTGGGAAGCGGATGCAAGACTCCTCCACCAAACGTCGTCATTTTAGAAGCTGGACCTGCTTCAAACAGCAATCTTGCAGTTCATAGAACTTGCGAAATATATATAGAAGATCTAAATTTGAATCAAGAAGACTCGTTAGATATTGCATGTAATGAAGCTATCTTTCACAGACTTACAGATTATTCCAATAATCGATTAAAACTAAATCCTATTCTTGGTCAGTAGCATACGAGCAAGAATATGTGTAGTGCTTTAATCATTGCTTTCTCTGGTTATGGATTATTTGGATTAGCATCTACACTTGGCACGAAATTCTTGGAAAAGCTTCAGGATGTTGTTGATTACCGAGCAACATTTCACGTTCTTGAGCTTATCTGGGCAGCTGTAGCTATTGTCATTCATATGTATGTGGACAACTATGGCATAACACTAGAAGATATCAAGAATGAAAATAATAATGTTTTGAAAGTTTGGTACCTATATTATCAATAGGCAAGTTGGCTTAAGCTTCATAAAATTGGCATTCGAATGAGTAACTTTGAAGTTCAACATGAACATTTAAAAGCTTTTGCTCCACTATTTCCTATCACTGGAAAAAGTAGATATACAGAATCAGTACTACATTTCTTAATGATAATAGAAACAAACCCAATACTAAAAGCAAAACTTCAAGCGGTTGGATCTATAAATCTTACTGCAGATAAAAATTTTTTTGGATTTGATGAAGCACTTGAGTATTTTGGCGTAAAATTCGTCAAACAAAATATGACTGGACATCCAACCGACATAGACAACTTAAAATTAGTAATCCAAAATGAAAGAGATCGATTGATGGCATTGTATGCGAAATACGTAACTAACACCTGTTTAAGTAAAACCGTGCGTGCAAAGAATAATCGTAAAGAGGCATTATGGAAGCTAGTAAATACACTTTACGAAGCAATTACCTCTAATGAACCTGAAAAGCATCCACTGTTTGAGATCTCTAGTCAACTAACACCTGCTGGATATGAACGCATGTTTAATTGTTATAATAAAGGGGTAGTTAGAATCACGAAGATCGTTAAACAAGATATTTTAAAAATAGAAAAACGTGATACAAGGGGACAAAGATCAAAAGATTTGGCACTTTACTATGTTGGAAGAAAGGCAGCTAAAAGTAAAAAGCAAAGTATGGAAGAAATCGAGTAGAGAATTTATAACCAAGCTCTAATAACAAGTATATAAGGATTGTTCTAGTGATAAAAAGTTTTTTTTTTTATTAATAGATCTGATTAAAGTTGACTTAAAAAGATGTTTTATAAACTTTACCTTGTATATAGAGAGCGATCTTCTTTTATATGTTATGTTTCCCTAGATCTGTAAAGTAATACCTGATAAAAAAATATATTTTCTTGAAGCTTATGCTTGACACAACCTTCTCAAATACCTTTTATTCGCTCTGTGTTTATATTTGAAAATAATCTTGGGTGGGAAGCAAAACTCTCTACTAATCTTGAGGCACCGATCATTCAACAAGAGATCTCACGAAAATGGTTAAATAAACCACGGTTCTATAGTGTAAAGCAGGTAGAATAAAGTTTTTAAAAAATATAATATATATATATTAATAAAATTCAAACTATCTTATTGTATAACTTATTAT